GAAAGACCTCAGCGCACAAAGCGCTGGGTTCCATCCCCAGACAGAGAGGGCTGGGCCCGGGGTCCTCGGGGCAAGTGACACGATGCCTCTGCCTCAGTTTCCCCGTCTGCGAACGGGGGTGCGGCTCCAAGCTATCCCGCCGCCCCCTTGGTCCGTGCGAGCCTGTGAGGTGCCCGCGTTCCACAGAGCTGCAAGGCTGTCGTGATGATACTGAGAGCCGAGGCTCAGGAAGCTGAGCTCCGGACCGGAGGCCGGGGGTCCCCGCGAAGGAAGGGGCCTGCAGGGTGCTCTGCGCAGACACCCCGCCTGCTCAGCTCCCGCCCTGGGTACCAGAGCCAGGGCAGGTCTAGGTTTATCTTAGGAAACTTTCACCTTGGTGTCCAGGGGACTCCTTGCACTCACGTGTCTGGCTGGGTCTTGGGCCGTAAGAGCTTTGGGGCCACTTCCTGTGACCCCAGGACCCGTTCTTGTGCAGGCTTTGACAGTGGTGACAGTCAGGTCCTGGGAGAGGTGGGCTGCTTGGCTTCAGACCCTGGATTGTAGGGCGTGGTGGCTCACATGTGATTCCGGCACTCGGGAGGCTGAGGCAGGAGGGTCGCTGCGAGTTCACGGCCACCGTGGGCCACACAGCGAGTTCAGGGCCAGCCCGAGCCACATAGGGAGACCCTGTCTCAAAAAGGACAAAAAGCAGAACCAAACCAAAACAACCCAAGAAATCAGACATTTTCCTCGCACAGTTCTGGGGCTGGAGGGCTGACGTCAGGGAGCGGGCAGGGCTGCCTCCGCGGAGACCCCGGCTGATGTGCGCCCCAGCCGCGGCGCCTGTGGGGTCCTGGGCCGGGCAGGCGTCGCCCATCGCCGTCCCTGGAGCGCCCCGAGCGGCTCCCGGAGTTGTTTCAGCACCGAGGACAGCGGCGCGGGCCGGGTGGGCGCTGGGCGGCCGGGCTTGGCTTCCAGCTGGCCTCCAAGCGTGCGGCTGCCGGGCAGGGAGGGGACGGGCGCAGAGCCGCAGGCTGTGAGCCCAGCACTCGGGAGGCCGAGGCAGGAGGGTCGCTGCGCGTTCGAGATCGGCCTGCGCTGCACAGAGAGACCCCGCTCAAAAAGACAAACAAAACCAAAACTTAGGGAGACCGCGTCTCTGAATACAACACGCAGCCCTGGGGGCGCGCTTGGGGTTCCGCAAAGGAAGTGGAGGAGGCGGGGCGGGAGGAACAGGCCCCAGAGCCGTGGACGTTGTATCTGTTCACCCCAAAGGGCTAAACCAGACCCCGCAGAGAGCTCCGATGAGCCCCCAGCCCGGGGGTGGCTTTGTTCCTCCGCTTGTTTTCCAGGCCGCCTGGAATTCAAGGTCTTCCCGCCTCTTCCTCTTCCGGTGGTAATTTTTGTTGTGCTAAAATACAGGCAGCGGGAAACTGACCAGTTTGACTTTTTTTGTGTGCTGAAGATTGAGCCTGAGGATTGACACTCAGCTCCATCCCCAGCTGTTTTAAAAATTTTGAAATAAGGCCTTGCTCCGTTGCTCAGTGACACAGGCTGAGCTCACACTTGGGATCCTCCTGCCTCCGCCGCCCGGAGTGCTGGCATCGGAGGTGTGCTCCACGACACTGGGTCAGCTCCACCCCAGCCTCTGTCCCCAACAACCCTTGACTCCTGTCCTGTCCCCAGCCTGGCACCACACTCCTTCCTGTCTCGGTGGCTCTGATGACACTGGGATGTCCTGGGAGTGGGACCCTCAGAGCGTGTCCTCCTGTGTGTGGCTCAGTTCCCTGAGCAGCACGGCCTCAAGGTCCATCTTTAACGTGGCACCATCAAGACACTGTTGCTTTTCCTGGCAGTGTAATATTTCAGTGGGTGGGACGCGATGTGCACCCCATCCTGCTGTGGGCAGGCTGTCAGGGGTTGTGCTGCCGTGACATGTCTGTCCAGGCTTCCCCTTAACCCCTCTTCTTCCACACTCCAGGCTGTGCCTTCCTGACCTACTGTGCCAGGGATTCCGCCATCAAAGCTCAGACTGCCCTGCACGAGCAGAAGACCTTGCCCGGGGTGAGTCCTGCATAGCATGGCTGGGACGAGGGGATACAGGGGTTACTCTGGCTTGGGGCCACGCCCTTCCTGGAATTGGTTTCAGACTCCATGTGCCTGCCTCTGGCCTCAGAGAGATACAGGGAGTGGTGAGGTGAACACTCAGCCTGCTGTGCTGTGTTGTACACTTTGCAGCAGGGTGGCTGTGTATGGTTGTTCAGGTTGTATACTGCACGAGCGTACCAGGCCCCGAGTGCGAGTGTATGTGTCATTGGATGGAGACCTAAAGGATGAGGAAATATTAACAGGCAGGGACAATACTGTGCAAAGGTACTGGGGCAGGACAGAGCTCAGCTCATTGCAGCTGCAGCAGGGAGACCGTGTGGCCTGACCAGAGGGAGCCAGAGGCAGAGGAGGAGGAGGGCAGGCAGGGGTGCATTTTCTGGGGACATGAGATTCACGTTGGGTTTGTTTCAGCTCTCAACAAGCAACCAAATCTCAGTTGTGGGCTGGACCCCATTGGGAAGAATGAAACGCCCCTCTCTGGGGTGCACTGTGGCTTACTGACGCGTGCCCAGGTCCCCTCTGTCCTCGCCGTGTGGCCGGGGGCCAGCGCCCTAACCTCTCTGGTCCTCACGCTGGGAGCGGGTCACAGGGCAGGGTGGGTGGACGCTGCAGAGGAGGGAGTCCCAGAGGGCACGGCGGAGGGGGTGGACTGGAGAACCAAACAGAAGTGACCTGTCCGTGCCTGTGCTGGTCCTTGTGTAATAAAGCACCCCAGGCTGGAGGTCTGGAGAGGTTTATCAGGCTCATGGCCATGGGGGGGGGTCAAGGGCATGATACTGACATCAGCCCCCTCTGGAGAGGACCCGCAGGGACACGTCACCACACAGCGAGAGGGACGGGCACAGCGGGGCGCGACGCTGGGGACAGACCGGGGAGCCCCTCTCCATTTGTTTATCTATGTATTTTTTTCTTTCTGGCACTGGAATTGAGCCCAGGGCCTTCCCTGACCTACATCTCCAGCCCTTTTTTTTTTTTTTTTTTTTTTTTTTTGGTCTTTTTCGTTTTTATCGGTACCTGGGATCGAACTCACGATTGCCTGCTTTCAAGGCAGGCACTTATACCGCTGAGCTAAACCCCCAGCCCCTCTCCAGCCCATTTTTAAACAATTTTTTTGTTATGAGACAAGGACTCACAGTCTTGCTAAGTTGCCCAGACTGGACTGGAACTTGGCTTCTTCCTGCCTCAGCCTCCCTGAGTGCTGACATGACAGGTGCGAGGCGCCAAGCAAGGTTCCCATCCTGTTTAGGACTCTTCCTCCCCATTGGTGAGAACTGTTAGTACCCGGAGGCCACGCCCCACGGACCTGCCCGCCTCCATCTAAGCCCCGCCTCCCTCTAAGCCCCGCCTCACCCAGGCCCCGCCTCCCTCTAAGCCCCGCCTCCCTCTAAGTCCCGCCTCACCTAGACCCCTCCTCCAAGTCCCACCTCCCAAAGCCCCGCCTCCCTCTAAGCCCCGCCTCTTAAAGATCCCACCGCCTCCCAATAGGACAGCCCTGAGGACCACTCTTCTGGCCCTTGGGAGACACACCTTGTGCAGTCCCTTCCAGACAGGACAGGGAAAGGCATCTCGGGGACAGGGAGCAGCACGGAGAAGGAATATAGCGCCCCAACTCCACCCTTCCCTGGGTGTCTCCGCGCCCTGCCACGGCTGTTGAAAGGCGGCCTCCACAGGGCTGCATGGGGTGCACATACGGGGAGCCTGGCCCCCCCTGGCGCCGGGACCCCGAGGTGACGGAGAAGGAAGCCCCTCACCTTGTGCCCAGCCTCAGAATGACACACTGGTCACCTCTCCCATGGGCTGTGGAGAAGGGGAAGGGTGGAGAGGAGAATCCGGAGCTGGCGGGGCATCAGGTGGGGTCCCGGGTCAGGCAGCCACGCTGCAGAGCGGGCGTCGGGACCTGCGTGACTCACCCCACGCCTGTGCGGTGGCCGGGCCCGTGAGCTTTTCCACGCTCCGCAGCTGGGAGGCCGCTCCTGTGAGGCGCCCGATCCTGTCGGTCCTGCCCTTCCTCTCATGCACCTGCCAGCCGTCCCCCCACATCCTCTGCCCGTCTCCCCGTCTTCCCATCTCCTCACCCACCCACACATCCTCTCAGCCGCCAGGCCCTCCCTTCAGGGTCTGTGCACAGAGAGCCACTCGGCCACCTGGGTGTGGTGGCTATCAGAGCAAGGACCCGGGAGGAGCTGTTCCAGACAGGGCAGCTGGGACAGGGAGGGACGGAACCCTGTGCTTCCTGTGGGAAGGGCGATGCCGCTGCTCAGCTGTGCAAAGGCCCTGGGGCAGGATGGTGCCTGAGGTATCTGCGGATCCCGGAGGCCAAGGGAGCAGGACAGAGCAGGACGCCGGTGTGGGCAGCGTGGGTTTATTCTGGGGGTGACTCCAGAGTCGTGGGAGGGTGACGCTCAGAGGGGCAATCTGACTTGATTTACTTTTTGGTTTCCTTTTCTTCAGTCTTGGGGGTGAACCCTGCACTCAGCCCGGTCCCAGTTCATATTTTTATTTTGGCCAGGGTCTCCCTGAGTTCCGAAGCTGCCCAGGCTGGGCCCCCGTGTATAACCCTCCTGCCTCAGCCTCCCGGAGTGCTGGGATGATGGGCGTGCGCCACCATGTCTGGCTCCGTCCCCTGCTGTCCTTGCGTCGCCCCTCCCAGGGCCTCTCCTCCCGTCCCCTACACTCCTTCCTCTGCTCAGGCGCCCCTCGGGGGCCGGGGTTTGCCCGACACCAAGGGAGGGAGCCTCGGGGGCGACGAGAGACCCAGCGGCAGGGGCTCCAGTGCGTGTGGGCAGGGCTTAGCCAGGCCAGTCTCGGGGGTACCCCAATCCTAAATGCCGACAGGAGACCCTGCTCGGGGGACTGAGGAGCAGAGAACCTTCTAGAACGGTGCCAGCTAAAAGAAATGTCACCCTAGCAGTAGGGCGAGGGGGTGCACACCGTCATCCCAGCTCCCTGGGAGGCTGAGGCAGGAGGATCGCAAGTTTGAGCCTAGCCGAGGCCCGTTAGCAACTTAGTGACTTGGGAAGCAGAGGTGCATGCTTTTTCATCGCTGCATAGTACTCTGCAGCACGAGCGTGCACTTTATTGAATCTGTGCATGGAAAATGTTTGAGTTTTTTCCAGTCTTTGCTGCGCTGAACGGAAATATTATGACGTGGTTTTGGTGGGCAAATGTTGAGTTTCTGCCGAGGGATCCCTTAGACTATTGGGAACTGCAGTACCAGGATATTCACTGTGCATAGCTGACGTTTTCCTCATGAGTAAAAGATGGAGTGCGACCTTCAGTGTGGAGGCTGGGGAATGCTGGGGTGGATGTCTGGGCGCTCCATTCTGTGCTCCCCCAGATATATCAGGGCTTCACCCCTGGCAGAGAAGGCCTTCCCTCCCGGTCATGCACTGCGCATGCCCAGCAGGGAAGGGGCGGAGCCAGGCGTCCGGAGCCGTCAGCCCACTTCCCGCCTCCTCGGCTCTGGGGTGGGCACCGGGACTGGCACTTCCGTCTTTCTAATTCTGTCAACCACGCGGGCCAGGGCCGGGTGGTGGCGAACACCTGTGATCCCAGCACTGGGGAGGCTGAGGCAGGAGGATCGCTAGCTGTGTGTTCAAGGCAGCCTGGGCTCCATAGCATGACGGTGTTTCAAAAATCAAAACCAAACCAACGAGACCCCCACCGGAGGGAGCCCTGTGTGTCTTCCGCACCTCCAAGTCCTAAGCTGGGCAATTTCAGGGGGCTCTGAGGGGGCCGCTCCCAGGAAGCCGGTTCCCTGGCTGCACAACTTGGTCTTCTCATGTTTTCAACACGCTCTTCGCCCCGGGCGATGGGGGAGCTTTGGTTTCTCAGGAGCCTGGAAACCACGTACGTCAGTCCATTTCCGTTTCATTTGCGCCAAGCTCCTCTGCAATCCCTCCTTCCCAAACTCCTACTCCTACTTTAAAACCCACTGCAGATGTTCCATGCTCAGCAAAGCAGCAGGGTAACTTTTGCTTCGTGCCTGTCCTCTGCCCCAACTCCCGACCCCCATGTGGAAGGGTCAGTGTCTGAACTCTGTCTCGCCTCTGTCTACTGTGGGGGATCCTCAGAAGACTCATATGGGGGCACACCGGAGAGGCTGCTAAAGGAAAGGGAGGGAGGGATACAGAGATGGGGACCAGCGGAGAGGGGCTGAGGAGAGGCAGATGGAGAGAGCAGCGGAAGGAGGTGGGCAGGGCCAGATGGGCGGGCAGGGGCGGCGGGAGGTGGGGTGCGGGGAGACCCTCCGCCTGGCGCCTCCTCCCGGCCGGCGTGTGCGCGCCCGTGCGCCCGGGCGGCGGCACGTGGATGCCAGCCTGGTGCTGCGCGGCCGGCCGGTGGGTAAGGCGGGCGCGGGGCGGGCCCCGAGGGGGCGGGAGGGGAGGGGGGTCCCCGCCGGCTTCCCCGGGCCACACCGGGCGCGCTCCTCGGTCCCCGCTGGCCCGGGCTGGGGGAAGGAAGGGGTCCGGCCTCAGAGGCCGAGCAGGCCGGGCAGGGCCCGAGGGCTGGGCAGCAGGAACCCCAAGCTCTGCGGCCAGTGCGGACGGACGGACGGACGGAGGGCCGGGGGATGGGGTGGATTCTGTCCCTCGTGTCCGCCCCTCGCCGCCTCCCCCCATCCTCCCTCCCTCGGCTCATCCATCTCTAAAAGATTATATTTAAATATCTCTTTTATGCAAGGCAGGAGCCGGGCTCGCCCCTAAGAGGCGGTTTCCATGGCAACAACAATTGCCAGCTTCCGTGTGGTGAATCAGCGTTGCCATGGCAACCCCATCCTCCTCTGCCCAAGGTGCTGGGGAGGGAGGAGGTGAGGGCCAGCAGAGCGGGAGGGGCGGGTGGGAGCGCGGGAGGCTAGAGCTGGGGGTCCCCCCTCCGTCCCCCTCTTCTTCTTCTGGCCACCCCGGTCCCAGAAGCTTTCTGGGCCGGTCCGGTCGGAATCAGCTGCCCTCCGGCCTCCAGGGCGCCGGGGTGTGGTACCCTGGTTGCCAGGAGCCGGGGTGTGTAGGGGGCGGCGGGCCGGGCGCTGCCGGCTGGGTGGGGGAAGGGAGAGGTGTTGGGGTGTTGCCTGGGTGGGGGTCAGGGTCCCTGGAGGGCGTGGCTGGTGACTGCAGGTTGGGCCGAGCAAGGCTGGCTTCCAGCGGAGGTAACCCCGAGTGTGTCTGGGACCCGCACTCAGGAAGGAGGCGGGGACCGGAAGGGGGGACTCAGGAGGGGAGGGCTGGGGGGGTCCGGCGAGGGACCCCAGGCTGAGGGTCTGGAACAGGACCCAGAGGCAAGAGTTTGGGGTTCCCAGATGGGGAACGGGGTGTGCTCTGGGCAGCCGCCTACCCGCCCACCGTTAGCTGGGACATCCTGTCCATCCGTTGGGTGGGATGCCGTCTCGGGGGACCCCCCGGGATGAGTGGATGTCGGGGGACCTGTTCTGCAGTGACCTCGCCCGGGAGGGTCTGAGACAAATGCCTGTGCCAGGCACTAGTGGTATCTCTGCCTGCCACTTCCTGTGGCCTGTTCAGCCCTGATTTCCCCGCATGCCCTGCCCCGTGTGGACCTTACTGTCCATAGGGAGGAGGAGACAGAAAATGATGTTGACACTTTAAACCCTGAGGAAGAAGCAAGGCAGGGTTAGGGTTACGGTTAGGCTGGGTCTTTTGAGCTGGGTTTTGAAGGATGCAGAGGAGTTCAGAAGCTCTATGCTGGCAGGATTCTGTCCCAGGACTGCATAAAGCAGTCTGTTCTCAGCCCCATTGGCTCATATTGGGACTGTGTATGTGGGAGGGTTATTTTCACTGTTTTCAGGGCCTGGAGGAATTCTGAGCAGTGGTTCCTGATGGTTCTCTAGCTCTGCTGGGAGCTGCCTAAACATAGCTGGCTTGGGTGTATCAGTTAGCTGCTGCCACGTAACAAGCTGTCTTGGTCATTTTATCTGCTCTTGGTTCTATGGTGGGCTGATGTCATTCAGGTTCATCTAGACAGTTCCACGGGCCTCTCCTGAGGGTGGGTGTCACTCAGGAGTTCATCTGTGTCCAATTGTCAGTCCCGACAGGTCAAGAAGGCAAGAGACAGGCTCTGAGTTCACTTCACCACCTCGCTGCCACCTCATTCTGTTTGTCAGAAAAAGTCCAATGGTCGGGTCCAATGCCAGGTTTCAGTTCTTGATGGCAGGAACTGCAAAGTCACTTGACCTATAGGACACTGGAGGAATTGGGCCGTCTTCAGAATCTGTTTCGTTTAGGGAGAACAAGGAGACTTCCAAAAAGAAAGGATAATTGTCATTGGGTTTTGAAGGTTAACTAAGAGTTTTCCAGACACGCCCCACCCTTTAGGTGGGATCATGCATGTGCTGGTTTGACTGGGGTGTTAGGAGCTGCTGACGCCGTGGGGTGGGGTGAGCAGGGGTGTGGGGCAGAGCCCAGGCAAAGGCCCTGCCCGTGCCTGCTCCCACGGGCCCAAGCTTCATTCTTCCTCCTCTCTCCCCACAGATGGCGCGGCCAATCCAGGTGAAGCCTGCAGACAGCGAGAGCCGCGGAGGTAGTTGTCATCTGTCTGCGGCCACTGGACAGGGGGGTGGCGGAGGGAGGGGACAGGGACAGTGGCGGAAGCTGGGCTGGTGCGCATGGAGGCTGGGCCGAGCCCCAGTGTGAGGCGTGCCCTTGGAGGTGTGGGGGGACGCTGGGCTGTCTTCGGTGGGATCCAGGACTGGTCGTTCTTGGACATTTTCACATTTTCTCTCAGTCTTGAGGAAAGGAGAACTGAAGGGGTGTGATGGGCAGGGCTGTTAGGACCCCAGCGTATGTATAGGAGCCGGGTAAAAGGCATGTGGGTTAGGAAACCCTTTCACACTCTCCCAGCCGCCAGAGCGGAACAGTGAGGGTCTCCAGCTTTCCTCTCCTCCCACATCGGGTCCTCTCTCCTCTTGGCTTTCTGTGTCTGCTTCCTTTTCTCTGCCTCGTCTCTGCCTCTCCCACCCCCGCCGTGGGTCTCTCTCCCTGGCGCTCATTAGCTCCGCTTCCGCCCTGCTCCTTCCCACCTCCACCGGTGAGTGACAGCTGCCGGGACGGTTTCCATAGTAACGATTCTCGCCAGCCCTGGGAGAGGAAGCCGCCTTCTCGCAGATTGCCAGGGACTTGGCTGTGCAGCCCCGAGGGGCGGCGCCGGGGGGCGGGGACTCGGCTGAGGTGGCGTCTCCGCCCACAGGGGACCGGAAGCTGTTCGTAGGCATGCTCAACAAGCAGCAGTCCGAGGAGGATGTGCTGCGGCTGTTCCAGCCCTTCGGGGTCATCGACGAATGCACTGTGCTCAGGGGCCCTGACGGCAGCAGCAAAGGTGACGGTGGAGGGGCGGGGCCTGGGCCGTGAGGGGCGGGACCAGGACGGCGCTGGGCGGGGCCGGGCGGCGCTGGGAGGGGCCAGGGGTGGGCCTGGCTGGGGGCGTGTCCGAGGGGCGGGCAGGGTCTGTAGGGAGAGCTGTCAGTGGTTGGGGCCGTTGGGGGCGGAGCCTTTCCAAGGGGCGTGGTTATTTGTGGGTGGGGACTGACGGTGGGCAGGGCCAGAAGGAAGGCGAGAGGCGTCCGGGAACTGGGGGGCTCTGGCGGGGCTGGATCTGCTGATCAGGGCGCAGACCTGATTCTCCCTGGGTCCCACGAGATCCTTCCTGGTGTGGGGGGCCCTTCATCCCAGAATCCCTTGCGGCCGTGAGCTCCAGGATTATTCGTCTACCCGGAATCTGCCAGCCTGTCTCTGAGTGTCCGTCTGGGTCTTCCTGTCTTCTGTGTCCTGCAGTCTGTCTCCTTGAGTCCTGTCTCTGCCCCAGTCTTACCCTCCTAGGACTGAAGAGGCCCAGTGCCCTCAATGGGCCTGACCTTTATTTATTTATTCATTTATTTTTGTTTTTTTTTTGCTCTTCACAGGGTCTCTGTGCAGTCCAGGCTGGCCTTGAGCTCACTGTGTAGCCCAGGCTGGTCTCAAACTCACAACGACCCTCCTGCCTCAGCCTCCCGAGTGCTGGGATGACAGGTGTGAGCCGCCACGACGGCTTATTTTTGTTAAAAAGACAAGGTTTCATTCTGGACTTCAGGCTAGCCTTGAACTCACAGCGACCCTCCTGCCTCAGCCTTCCAGGCACTTAGATTACGGTCATGCACCAGCACCCGGCCCTGCTTGGGCCTGACTTCTGGGTACCTAACCCACACACCTTGGAGTCCTCCTGTCTCACTCCACACACAGTACTTTGTAGTGTGCTGGCACCGCTCTAATGCCAGGTCATTTGGCCACCGCCGCGGCTGCCCAGGTTAGCCAGGAGACTGTGTTTGGGGAGGGTCAGCGGCTGTGCCCTGCAGGCTTGGTTCCTGGCTGTCCCGCAGAACTCTTCTGTGTCTGGTGGCCTCTGGTCGCACATCCATCTGATGTTGCCTGTGTGACCATCCGGGTCCCTCTTGGTACAGTGATTTGTGACCCGCTGTGTGACTGCCCCAGGACTGTGTCTCCGCGACCCTCTGGGGGGCCTGTTGTCAGGCTTTCTGCCTGCCTGGTTACACTGTCCGGCCTGTGTGGAGTCCTGGCGGGTCGTGGCTAGGGGATGCCTGGGTGCTCACTTGTCCTAAGGGATGGGTGCCTCCGTGAAGCTCCTCGACTGGCCCTGTCCACTCGAGTGTGTCTGCAGATGGCCAGACAGCTACCAACTCTGCTGGCCTGGGTGACCATCTCGCCGACTGACCCTCCGTCTGCCGGGCGCCCGCTCGCCCGTCCCCCCCGCCCTCCGCCCCTGTCCCTCACGCCCTGTCCTTGTCCTGGTGCAGGCTGTGCCTTTGTCAAGTTCTCTTCCCACACGGAGGCGCAGGCGGCGATCCACGCCCTGCACGGCAGCCAGACCATGCCGGTGAGTGGGAGCCACTCGGGCGGTGGCGCGGGGCAGGGCCCGGAGTGGGGGACATGGCCAGGCAGGCCGCAGGGTGCATCGGGATGACCTGCCTGAAGCCAGAGACGCCCCTTTCCTCAAGCCTCAAATCCAGGGTGTTGACCGGGGCCACCTGTCACCTGCCGGCACCTCCCCGTTTGCACTGTGGCCCTACCTCCCCAAGGGTGTGCCCTGGGACAGCTTTGGGACCCTGGAGTCCTGGCAATCTCCTTCCCTTCTCTCCCGTGCGGCTTCCCGCCGTCCCACAGGGAGCGTCTTCCAGCCTGGTGGTCAAGTTTGCAGACACGGATAAGGAGCGGACCCTCCGGCGCATGCAGCAGATGGTGGGCCAGCTGGGCATCCTGACGCCGTCCCTCGCCCTGCCCTTCAGCCCCTACAGTGCCTACGCCCAGGCTGTGAGTGACCAGGGCTCCGCGGCCTGCACTGGGGACCCGACTCCTCTCACCCCACCCATCCCCTGCCAGGGCTTCAGCCGCTTTGTCTTCTTGGATTCTGTTCCTCCACCGAGCCCCGCTGGGACAGGCAGAGTGTTGGGCTCAGCCACCAGGTCCAGGTGGAGCCTCCACACCGACCTGAGGTCAAACGCAGTTGGGTTGGAGCCCCTAACCAGGCTGCGCCCTGGCTGTGGACTGAATCCTAGGCTCAAACTGAGACTGAGCTTAGATTTAGATTCTGGCCAGTTCTGAGCTGGACCTCCAAATTCAGGCTAACCCCAAATGGAGATCGGATCTGGCGGAATCCTGCTTCACACTGAGCTTCAATTTCTAACTGAGCCCTGAGCCTTAAAAGTAGACTGAACCCTGGTCTTGGACCAGATCTCAGGTTTTGGTCGGTGTTTTTATTTTTTGGTGTCGGAATCGAACTGAGGGCCTCACACTTGCTAGGCAGGCATTTATGCTGCTGAGCTCAATCCCTGGCAGGACCTGTTTTTAACTGAGCCCTGAACTGACGCCCCACACCCACACCTCCTGTTCCTGGGGACCCACAGCCTCTGAGCTCCTCGACGCCCTTTCCTTCCCAGCTCATGCAGCAGCAGACGACGGTCCTGTCCACCTCGGGCAGCTACCTGAGCCCCGGCGTGGCCTTCTCCCCCTGCCACATCCAGCAGATCGGCGCGGTCAGCCTTAACGGGCTGCCCGCCACACCCGTCGCTCCTGCGTCAGGTGAGCAGCTGCCAGGGGCCCGAGGACGGCTGGGCAGGCCCCACGCAGCGGCCAGGCCTGCTGACCGCTTCCCGTCCACAGGGCTGCATTCACCCCCGCTGCTGGGCACCACCGCCGTGCCCGGCCTCGTGGCGCCCATCACCAATGGCTTCGCCGGTGTTGTGCCCTTCCCAGGCGGGCACCCTGCCCTGGAGACCGTGTATGCCAACGGCCTGGTGCCCTACCCAGGTAACTGCGGTGGTCCCTGAGTGCCCACACCCTGGCGCTGGCACCAGATGGGCCTCACTTTGGCCTGTCTGAGGCCAGTGCAGTCCGTCATGTCCCGAGACTGCTCTGACAGTGCTGCCAGCCTGCAGGTGTGGACCTCACCTGTGACAAAGCTCGTCACCACTGAGCTTAATTATTCATCCCTGGTACTGGAGAAGGCATCAGACCCTCCACTCCCCGCTCATGCAGTAACTATTAACCGGGCACTGATGCGAGCTGTTCCCTGCCCTGTTGGGTCAGATGGGCACCCCATTTTTCTCCTCCCTATACTGGGATTTTTAGGAAGAGAGTGTCTTTTTTTTTTTTTTTAATGGGTGCCAGGGATCGAACTCACGATGCCTGCTTGCAAGGCAGGTGCTTATGCTGCTGAGCTAAATCCCCAGCTATACTGGGATTTTTAGGACAGACATCTTCCAAAGCCTTCAGTGAACTCAGTCATTTCTACTATGGAAGAGAAGTTTGGTTTTAACTTTTTATATTTTGGATGCCACGACATAGTGTCAGAGCTAGGACAGTGACCCTGGAGTGGTAACATTCACTCAGATTTCATTCCCGATTTTGCCGTGTCATTGGCAGCACGTGTGTCTGTGTTTCTACAACTGTCTGCAACTGTCACACTCAAGATACAAATGTAGCCAGGCGTAGTGGGGCCAGCCTGTGATCCCAGGACTCTCGGAGGCTGAGGCAGGAAGATCTCAGGTTCAAGCCTAGCACGGGCAATTGAGTGATCAGGGAGACCCTGTCTCAGAATAAAAAAATGAAACAACACAGGTGATGTAGTTCAGCGCAAAGGCCCGGGGTTCAATGCCCAGGGCCTGCCCTCAAAGATAGAAACCTTTCCTCACCCCAGCCACCCTTCAATGGCGTTTACAGGTCGTATTTCTCCTCGCATTCTGCAGCTTTGATGGCCTGGGCAACGTCCCCTCCTCTTTCCTTTTCCCCTGATGGCCATGGGGACCCCCGGGGGAAATCAGTGTGCAGCTGGCAGAAGGACGAAGGGTTGGGGGGGCTAAGGGTTCCCGTGGGAAATGAGGATCAGGATAGGGACAGGTGGGGTCCGAGAAGTCTCAGCGACCCCTTGTAAGTGGCTTCACCCGCCCTGAGTCGCACGTTTTTCCCCTATAAAATTCTGGGTCCTCTGGGATAGGATTTGGACGGGTAAAGCTGGGCGACACGTTTGTGGGTTCACACTCTGGTTGTCATGGGTGGGGTGGACCGAAGACTTCTGCCGCCCCCGCCCCACCCAGCTCCTCTGTCTACCCCGCAGCTCAGAGCCCCACAGTGGCCGAGACGCTCCATCCTGCCTTCTCCGGAGTCCAGCAGTACACAGGTACCCGGCCTGCTGCCCCGCCCAGCCGTCAATCTTCCTGATGGCCCCGCCCAGCCGTCAATCTTCCTGGTGGCCCCGCCCACTCGACACATTCCCCTGCTGAGCGCGCAACACCCAAAACTGAGCCTGACTCTGAAGGGCTGGCCCCACCCTAGTCCCCACCTCTGTGTTCCCTGCTCCGCAGTCTGTTGGGGGAGGCGGCCTTTACTTCTGGCCCTGCCCCAATCCCAGTCTTGGCCCCGCCTCTTTCTCCCTTTCCAGCCTTGGCCCCGCCTCTTAATCCTTCCTCCAGTCTGGGCCCCGCCTCCCTTCCCTTCAGCCCCGCCCCTCCCCGCCTCTAGCCCCGGCCCCGCCTCTTTCTCATCGCTCCCCCTCCTTGGCCCCGCCTCTCTGCTCTCGCCGTCAGCGTTGGCCCCGCCTTCCACGCACGCCCCTCATCTTGATTGATGGGGCCTCTGACGAAGCCCCACCCACTCTGGTACTCCTGAGCCCTGGCCTGGGCCAGCCCTCTGTTGTGGCCCAGCCCCTCAGGTTTTCCGCCCGATCCCTCTAATTTAGGGTCCCGAGCCTTGAACCACAGCCCCACCGCACCCCCCGTCTTCCGCGTGCCCTTGGCCGGGCCTCTCGCTGTAGCCCCGCCCCGCCCGGTTGGCATGGCCCCGCCCTTTCCGGCCTTGGCCCCGCCCTCCCGTTGGTTTCTCAAGCCCCGCCCCTCAGCCGTGGCCCCCGCCCTCCCTCGGCCCCGCCCCAACCCGTGGCCACGCCCCGCCTCACGCCCCGCCCGGCGCGCTGTCTGTCGGTCTCCGCAGCCATGTACCCCACCGCGGCCATCACGCCCATCGCGCACAGTGTCCCTCAGCCGCCGCCCCTCCTGCAGCAGCAGCAGCGTGAAGGTGAGGGGACCGCGACCTCCCGGGGCCAGCCCCGCCCTGACCTCCGCCTGCGACCCCGCCCAGCGGCTGCCTTCCCGGGTGGCCTCGGGCCACGCAGTCGCCCCTCTGAGCCTCAGTTTCCCCTGCCCGGGATGCTGGGAGCCGCGCCCGCCCCGACCCCTGCGGATAGCGGGGCTTCTTCCAGCCCCCTCTGGAAGCCTGGGGTTCGCTGCAGTTTTGGCGGGAAACTTCCGGAAGTTGGGACAAATCGTGCGTGACGAGGTCACTGGGGCAAACTGAGGCCTCTCCACGGAGGGAGGGAGGGAGGACTTAGATTGTGGATTGTGACGGTCGAGGTTCACCTTCATCCACTTCTGACATGATGGTCACACAACCAGCCCGTGCCTCAGTTTCCCCGGCCCGACCTGGGCCAGGAGGTGGTCCTGGGGTGTGAGCAGTGGCTTTTCCTGGCCGCGGGGAGTCCGTCCCCAGATCCATCTATGTGTGGGTGTGGGGTGCCCCGGGGGAAGGGGCCAGCCGGAGAAGCCAGGCCACCCACGGTAAGGGGGCACTGCCTTCCCTGGGCTGCCCCTCTGTCGGGGGTCACAGGGTGTCCCCTGGAGGCTCTGCACTAACGCCCCCAGCGTCGTGACAGTTTGCATAACTCAGTATCCCACCAAGCATGGCGGGCAGCCTGTCATCCCAGCCCTCGGGAGGCTGAGGCAGGAGGGTCATTCCAAGTTTGAGACCCGCCTGGGCTACGAGGTGAGCTCAAGGCCAGCCTGGACTGCATAGCCAGACCCCGTCTCAAAGCAAGCCTCAGTGGAGAGCAGGCCTGAGTGGGAAGGCGGGGCTCGGCCGCGTGCCATCTCAGGGTTTTCTTTGGGGGCTTACTTGTTGCCAAAGGGGGCTACACTTCCTTGGGGGCACATGTTTCAGGGTGGTCTTTAGAGGTGAGACTGTCAACCGCAGATTTGGGGGGCTGTTTATGGGTTGGGATCATCGGGTTTTTAATGCTGTTACTGTGTTATTTATAGTTTTTGTATTAGCCATCTACTGGTGATTATTTGAATTTGACAGTGGTTTTGAGGGTTAAGTGTGACCATTTTTAAAGGACAGTTACTTCTGGTCTGTATGTTGCATCACTATTTAATTACGGTTTCACAGGCTTCGGGACTGGATTTTTTTTTTTTTTTAATGTTTTTGAAACAGGGTCTCGCCGTGCAGTCCAGGCTGGCCTTGAGGTCACTCTGTATCCCAGGCTGGCCTCAAACTTTTGTTTTTTTTCCTTTTTAGGAGTTGTGGAGATAAGACAGGGTCTCACTGTGTGATTCAGGCTGGCCTTTGTAGCTTGGGTTGACCTCAGACTCACGGAGATCCTCCTGCCTCAGTCTTCTGAGTGCTGAGCTCACAAGCATGTGCCACCCCGACCCAGCTCTAGACAGTGACACTTTTCTAAGTGACCGTTTTATCATAGGACGATTCTAGACTTGCATGATGAATACAGAGAGTCCACAAGTCTGTTTTCCTCTGGTATTTTCTCTGACTTTTATAACTGAGCTGGAGTCTGTGGTTCTAGACATGGATTTGCCCGGCAGTTTGAGGTCATCTGTGGGTTTGGGATTATCCCGGGGGTGGAGCGGAGGGTTTAGCTGGGCGCTGGTGAGTGTTGCCAGTCACAGGGCCTGAGGATTAGCGGCACATGGACAGTACCGGATCAGAAGGCGGGGGTGCAGCCCCACCTGCTTCCCACCCGCGCCCCTGCCAGGAGCTGGAAGCCAGTCCCCCCACTTCCGTTGGCCATCAGGAGGAGGCCCGCACCGCACCCCTCCCGGGGGTCCGCCGCCTCTCCTTGGGGGCTTTATGTCTTTCTCTCCCCTACCTGCAGGTCCCGAAGGCTGTAACCTGTTTATCTACCACCTCCCCCAGGAGTTTGGAGACATGGAGCTGACGCAGATGTTCCTGCCCTTCGGCAATATCATCTCCTCCAAGGTCTTTATGGATCGGGCTACCAACCAGAGCAAGTGTTTCGGTGAGTGCTCAGAGCGTGCAAGTGCTGAGCGCCTGCTGTATACCCGGGAGTTCCCATACAACCTCTCAGAGACCTCGTGTATTCCACGCGCAGGGCCCTGGCATTTCTGGGAGGATGAGGGGAGTTTAAAGATGAAAGCCTCCAAGGTTCTGAGACTCATTCTCCCACACCAGATAAGGAGTGAGCTCCCTGTCCCCAAAGGCATGCAAGGCCTGGCGTGTCAGCACAGAGCCAGGGCTGCTGCTGTGGGTCCTCTGGCAAGGCCGCCTGCCCCCCCAGGACCCCACAAGCAGCGGACTCCCCCGGCACCCAGCATCGCGATCCACCCCACTCTCTGCAGGATTCGTGAGCTTTGACAACCCGGCCAGCGCGCAGACCGCCATCCAGGCCATGAACGGCTTCCAGATCGGCATGAAGAGACTTAAAGTGCAGCTGAAGCGGCCCAAAGACCTGGGACACCCCTACTGACCACACCACAGCCGCCCCGAGGCTGCGGACCTGGCCCAGGTGAGCCGCCAGGCGGCCCCACTTCCCGCCCAGCCCTGGTCTTGTCCAAACCCCAGCCCAGCCCTCGCTTATTGGCCAAACCTTCCCTGGGTTTGGTTGGGTTGGCAGGGACGGAGCTGGATGAAGACACCCCAATAACTGTGGTCAGGGCTGGAAAGGAGGCTGGGTGGGGGTGGGGAGGTGGGGGAGAAGCTGGGGTTCCCCATCGAGGGTGGCGAGGCAAATCCTTCCTGGAGAAGGTTTTGAGGGATGAATAGGAGTTCACTGGAAAAAGCAGGTTTGGCCTGGGGTACAGGGTGCATTGGGGAGGGGCTGCTTCAGTCCTGTGACTCCTGTCCTCACCCAAAAGTCCCTAAACCAGAGGGGGGAAATGTTCAATGTGCACCCCAGACCCCACCCCTAAGGTTGGACTCAAAAATGCCAAGCTGGAGCCTAGGACATGGGGAAGGCCCTTGGTGGCCCCGGTCCCTGTCCTCTGTCCCCAGTTTCCTCTAGTGTCATCCGTCCCCATGGGGTTGGCCCTTCACACCAAACACCCCAAACCTCCGAGTTTATTTTGCCGTCAGAACAAAGAACTGTATCGCGCTCCTTTGGGGACCGAGAGCCGGACCCCCAGTCGCGTCTGTGAAATGGGCTCCCGGGAGCTGCGGGCCAGCTGGGTCCCCAGCCGAGCCCAGGACCCGCCCCGGAAGGAAGGACTCTGGTTTATGTGTTTTCTTCTTCCTTTTCCTGAGTTTAAACATCACCGTTGCTGTCACAGGCGAGGGCCCGGCCTGGAGCCGCCTGGAGGGCCTGGTGGCCGCGGGACGGTGCCTGGCGGAGGCCGCCAACCCAGGCCACCTGCGCTGCCCGCTCCTGAGCCCCCCGTGTGTGCCGGGCACCCACCCAGCACTGGGGGCTCCGTCTTGAGCAGACTGAACAGGACACAGCAGGGGCCGAGGTGACCCCCGGGGCGCCCGTCACCAAGTCGGGGCGAGCCAGAGAGGGCGACAGCTTGGGTCCCGAAGGCCTGCCAAGCCGGGTATGGGGTTGCGGGGTCGACCTCGGAACCCGGGATTTTGCTCTTTTTTTTTTTTTAAATCTAGGGGGCCGCAGGACCCCAGCCAGGCGGGCACAGGGGCTGGGGCGGGAGGGTGGCCTGTGACCCCCACGGACGCCGGTGGGGTGCTGTCACCCCGGAAGGCTGTCCCCTTCCACCCTGCCCAGGACTGTCCGTGAGCCACAGCTGGGTTCTGACACCAGCCCTCCACCCCTGTGTCCCCTCCCCCTGTCTCCCATTCACCCCAAAATGTCCCCAAAAATGTGAAGCACTCAGAATCCAGCGGGGCGCTCCGAGGTCTCCGGGTAGAGGGGACGGGGTCTCCCCCGTCGGCCGAGGGAGTCACACACTGCCACCCCCTCCACTTGGGGACGTCGCCTCCCTGTCCCCCTCCGCCCGACTTGGGGGCCAGCCTTGGTGACCCCTGACTCCCCCAGAGCCCGGAGACGCCTGTGTTTGCAGTGGAGATCTTGGGGCGGGCTTCTCTGATTTCCCGACATCCGAGTGGGTGACCCTGAGCTGGTCACTTTGGGGACACAAGGCTGGGCGGCCCGGTGACCCCGGCGGGGCAGCAGGCCAGGACGTGCCGTCGTTACCTCTGGGGACACGCGGCCTCCCTGCCCCTGTCCGCCCGTCCCGGGCCTCCGCCTGCGCCAGGCCGCACCGAGGCGTCCACTCCAGCCCTCAAGTCACAGCCTTACTCGAGTGACCAGTAGCCCTTAGCTTTCTGTCGGGGCGGCCGGGGGTGGCACCCCGCCCTCACTGTCCCCTCCCTCGGGCAGGCAGCCCGCGTCCCTGCCGTCGAATCACCAGCCTCCAATTAAGGTCTTGTAACCAAGATGGCCCGGACTGCCCCGGCCCGGGGGACGCGGACCGAGGAGGGGACCTCTTCACCTCTGCAGACTTGGCTGCTGCTGAGGGTTGGGTTTCTCCGAGCAGTGTACAGACGAAAAAACAAAATAGCAGGCAGGGGAGAGAATCACGTGGCAATGACTCTTTGTTTCCTAGCTGGGGTGGGGGGAGGGGGGCCGGGGTGGGGGTGGGGGGCACCCCCTGTTTAGCTGCCCGACCGACCGCGGACCCCCCCCAACACCTGGAAAAAGCACAGCGTCCGGCGAGACACTGGACAACTCTTCCTACGCTCTGAGAAGACGGGAGAGGACAAAATCGAAAACATACACACACAAGAAAAAGGAAAAATGCAAAAAAGAAAAAAAAAGTTCGTTTTTGTTGCTACCAAAAAAAAAAAAAGTGTTGACTGACCCAGAAAAGAGACAAATGGAAAATGACACACTGCAAAAAAGAAAAACAAACAAAAAGAGAAAAAAAAATTGTTCAAGCGACTTCTGCGCCTCCGGAGTTGGGTAATTGTCCCAGACGCCGCTCCCGCGTCCCCGTTCCCGTCCTCTCCGTGTGCCAAGGTGGCCTCGCCCAGGGCCCCCCGCTCCATGTTTACCGGCTGTAAATACCATTTTTTATACGCCACGTCGAGGACTGTGATTTGTACGATGTAGTTTATTTCTGCTACGAGCAACTTCACAAACTGACTTTTGGAGCGCGAGCCCCTCCCCCGCGCGCAGGCCCGACGGCGAGGCAGGAGGGAGGGAGCGGAAGGGCCGAGCGGCTTCGGGGTGGCTTGGTCCGGATTTTGTGTCAGAGATTTGCCTGCCTCGTCCGTTGTTCAGGTGACAGAGGGGGAAGGGGCTGCTCCGCGTCCCAAACGCCTCTCTTTGGTCTGAAAAAAAAAAAAACCTAAAAATTTATTTAATAAAAGTTTTACTTGCTATGGGCGGCTCTTACCGTGTTGACCTCGAGGCTCAAGGCCAAATATGTTGGACTCCCCGCGGCATCCCAGCTGGAGGGGCGCTGGGGGCACCCGGGTTAGCGGGAGCGGCGGGCCATAGTCCCAAGCAGGCCGTGTAAGATCCCTGTACCTGGGACTGTCTGATTAGCCTGGAAGCTGGAGAAATATCATGGTTGGCTTCGATTTTTTTTCCCCCCTTTGGAAAAAAGAGGTATGCACATTGGTTTATTCACTCAACAAACAGGTATGCAGGTTTGTTTATTCACCTAACAAACACTGGACACAGACAGTGCTGCTTACCAGGGCACAGCAGGGGGCTGCAAAGGCAGCTGGTCTCTGCCCTCCTCGTGGGGAAGACATTGTGCCAAGAATCATAATACTGTTTGGAAAAATACAGACCTAACGTTCACAAAACATTGACATTACCAGTGTAGCCAGTGTTTAGTTTGATTTTCTTTTTCTTTTTTTTAAATTTTGTTTCTTGTTTTTTGTGTTTGGACACGGTCTCACCGTGTAGTCCAGGCTGCCTCAGATTTGCAGTGATCCTCCTGCCTCAGCCTGCGCCCTGCTGCTGGGATTACAGGCATGTGTGCTAACACCCCCTGCTGGCCGTTTTGCCAAAGTGCCATATTCTCATCTCAAAAACGCAACCTCTTTTACAGCTGGGGAAACTGAGGCTCACAGATATGATGCGGGGCTGAGCTGGGAAGAGGGTTGGGGAGATTAATTTTTGCTGCCTGGAAGGGTTTTCTGGGTGGAAGGGTCCACCGCAGGGAGAGGCTTAGTGGTCCTTGATGTCTGGGAGTGGAGTCATGGGCTGGGAAGTCTGGGTGGAGAGGGCACTGAGCTTCTAGACTGGGCAAATCTGGACCAACCTGACGGCGATAGAGAGCCATAGTCGGGTTCAGATGCTGGGAAGAGTCCCGGGCTGAACTCCAGGACGCTGGGTGGGATGCCAGCCAGGAGGGTCGGCAGGCAGACTGACCTGATCAGGTGAACGCACCGGGGTCCCGTCCCTGGCGCTGCACAGTGTCGGCCTGAGAATGGCCATCCGTGCCCAGAGAGGGCAAGTCCACAGGGTGTGGACTTCATTGTGGGCCTAGAGGCTAAAAGCCACCGTGTTAGACTGAGAGGCAGGGTCCCCGGTGTCGGCGAGCAATCTGAGCTTTTCAGTGTTAATCCACGGCCGTCGTGTGTACCTGAAATGTACCAATAAAATCTAACTGAAGTGGAAAAAAAAACAAACAAAAAAATGTTATTTGGTATTAAAAAAAAATACTGCCTCCTTCAAACAAGAATTCCAGCTCTAGGAGTTTTTGCAATCGTGAATAAAGCAACACTCTGAGAGGCTGAAGCAGGAGGATCACCGGCTGGTGTCCAGTCTGGGCAGCTTAGCAATTTAGCAAGGCTCTGCCTCAAAATAAAAACTAAAAACGATTGGGCTGTGTGTGTAGCTCAGGGTGAAGGCCTTGGGTTCCGTCCCCAGGACAAAAAGAAAAAAATGCTGGGCGTGGTGGTGGTGCTCTCGGGAGGCCGAGGCAGGAGGATCGCGGCGAGTTCATACAGAGTGCGAGACCCTGTGGATTCGGCTCAGTGACAGAAAGCTTGTCTAGTAAGCGGAAGGCCCTGGGTTGAGTCCTCAACACTCAAACATTTAATAGGAAAAAAAAATCCACCGCACTTCAAATTTAGAACCCTTAAAACAGCCATCCGCTTTGGGAAGTCACTTTCCCGAGGACGCGCCCAAAGCTACCAGCAGAGGGCAGCGGAGAGCCACGCCGGGGGCCTCGGCTGGAAATGGTCGCGTTCGCAGAGCGTGGCTGCAGTGGCGGGCGCTGCGCGGGGATTTGGGGAGCTAGGGGTTAGTCCCGGGATTTACTAGAACATGCAAAAGCCACCCCGGCCAAACTCTGCAGCTGGACACTGCAGAGTGTCCGCTGCCGCCCCCTCCTCCTCCACCCTCCCGGGAGCGCCTCCTGCCTCGGCCTTGCAGAGAATGCGCCACCTAGAAATACTGTACAGGTCAAAATTAATGAACGGGCCCTAATAGGAGTCATGGGCACCACTCCCAGGACTCGAGCGTCAGTCAGCGTTTGTTAAGCGTCTACCGTGTGCGATTGCGTGGCTTGGGGACACTAGGGGACTCTGCTGACCACGCCCCCACGGGCTCCGCCCCTCCCCAGCCTCCTTCCCCACCGGAGTACCTTCCCTCCGCCCAGCTCCGCCCAGTCCCCGCCTCCTCTCTTTCCAGAGCCTATGGGAGCTAGGCAGACGAGGATTATCTACATAGTCGTAATCCACAAGCCAATCAGAGTCTAGGTGAGTGTGACGTCACAATGATGTCGCTTGCGATCCTTAAAGACGCAGTAACCTCTCCAAGGAAGGCAGGTTGGAAACGTTTCCCTGATTTGCCCTGGAGTTGGGAATAGTGGGCTCCGGGCCCAGGACCAGGGCACCGTGCAGCATGGAGGGCGCATAGGGACCATCAACCACAGGTCAGCCTGTGGGGACACGGACCTTTTGGTCTCCCCCTCCCTCTCCGGTGGTCCAGCCCCATCACCGCCCACTTGGACTGTCTCCTGGCCTCTGCCCTGGTCGTCTGTCTCACTGTCACAGAATCTGCACAGACGACGTCCCTGGACCTATCTGTGTGTCCCGATGGGGAACTGGGGCAAGATGAGCGAGGCGAGTTCTGCACTCTGGTGACACTTTCCAAGGCAAGGGGCGTTGGGCCAGGGCTTCGGGGGGTCTCGCTGTGCAGCTCAAGCTGGCCTTGACCTTGAGCCCAGGCTGGTCTCCAACTCACAGCGATCCTCCTGCCTCGGCCTCCCGAGCGCTGGGACTGATTACAGGCGTGCGCCACCAGGCCCGCTGGCGATTGTTATTGGAAATGAAAACTCAGTTTTGCCAGCACCGTTTAATTGTTTCCTCCTGTCATCACAGAATTGCCTTTGTCAAATAATAATCATAATAACACTTGGGGTACGGTTCTGTAATCCCTGCACTCGGGAGGCTGAGGCAAGAGGGTTTCTGTGATTGTTGGCCCCGCCTGGGTGGGTTTTCTAGTGGACTCTGTATTCTGTTTCACTGGTAGCCAGGTCGTGCTCTGGCCAACGCCAAGGGTTTGCAGAAGCTGATTTCGGACTCCAGCCCTGCAATCTGAGATGCACCTTCCACCCCGCCGGGAAATCAGCCGGGTGCAAAGGAACGAACGAACAGGCGGAAAGTTTACCCACAAGCCGAGCGGCTGCCTGGTCTGCACGCGCCCTGCCGGCTCCCAACCTGCCCAAGTTCTCAGACTCTTCATCAGTTAGAGCAAGTCTCGGCGTCAGAGACCCAAGTGTTTGTAATTAATGCGGCCGATTGGTGCGTTTTCAGTGCACTAATGATCTGAGTCCGCCCAGGGAAGGTGTGCCGGGCGCTGTACCTTGATCGGTGCCCCTCCGCTCGAAGGCGTCGCTTCCGTGCTTTCTCTTTTCATGTTTTTCTTTCCCTTTCTTTCTCCCTCTTCCCTCTCCAGCTCCCCTTCCCATTTGAATGTTGTTTTTTTCCCCAATTTTACAATATCTGTTATTCAGTTTGGTCCCTATTTACGTTGTTCCACAGCAGATAAACAACGCAGTATTTACACCTGTGGGTCCACGTAAGCGTACAGACTCAAGGTGCCTCCATTGCCTCAAGATTAGCCTTCTTTATGGCTGAGTAGTACTCCACCGTGTAAACATACCACATGTTTTATGTCCATTCCTCAGTCAGTGTGTATTTAGGCTGTTTCCCAGATCTGGCCATTACAAACTGTGCTGCTATAAACACGGGTGCATGTGTCACTGCAATATGGTGTTTTTAATTCTCCTAGGGAGATACTGGAGAGAGGAATGGCCGTGTCGAAAGGGACCTCTAGCTCTCGTTTCTGAGGGGCTCCACGCTGACCTCCACAGCGGTGCCCCAGGCCGCACCCCAGCCCCCCTACACGAGGTAGGGGCATCCGCCTAGCCTTGTGCTGCCTTCTGAGCAGGTCATGATGGTACCCGGGAGCCCTCCTCTCCTCAGGCGGGGCCGGTGACTGCTGAGGGGCTCGCAGGGCCAAGTAAGAGCTGCTGGGCGGACGAGGCACTCGTCGCCTCCCTCTCTGGGCTTTGCAGAAGTGCTTTGTGCTTTCTGGGCCACACAGGCGCTGTGACTGTCCCGGAAACACCCCTGCCCGTCACCCACGGACCCGGACTGGGGGTGGTCAATAAACCCGGGGTGCCGGGCGCCTTTTGATCCCGGTGGACAGCTGGCCATCCCACACCCCCGCCTGCACCCCTGCTCCGTCTCTGGCTCTTTCCTCCCGCCGTGCCTCGAAACACTTGGCAGGAGATGGGGACTCAGTGTAGGGGCCCCCAACGGCTGGCACTGTGAGGGTCTCCGATATCTCCGCACGGTTCTAATTTGCATCTCTTGGGGGATCAGTGATGCGGAACAGTTTTTCGTGTATTTACTTCTCATTTCTGTGTCTTCCTCTGAGAAGCGTCTGCTCCCTTCAGATGCCCCAGAGCGATCCACGTGTGTCCTGTTTGTTTTTTCTTACTCCTTTGCCTCGCCATATAAATTTCAAAAGAAGCTTTGTTAACAGTTGGAGATGAACCCAGGGCCTTTGCACATGCTAGACTAAGCTGCCCGCAGCCTAGAAGGTAGGAAAGAGGTAAGGAGGGGCTGGCCACGCCCCCAACGACCTGGCCTACTCCCGCTAGGCTCCGCCTTTTAAAGGGCCCACTACCTCCAAATGGAACCGAGCTGGGGACAAAATGTTCCACACGAAGGTCTTTATGTGACCCCAGATCCAAACGAGAGCGCTTGCTCCAGGCGTCCCCAAGGACCCTCCTGTGGCTCCAACCTTCCCTCACTGCCGCCGCTACCCCATAAGCCTTTTTTTTTTTCTTTTGAGACAGGGTGTCACTATGTAGTGTAGCCTGGCTTCAAACTTTAGTGTTTTTTGTTGT